TTGGCACCGCTGTGGTCTCGACACACTCGTTATCTGTTCCATTACACTGTCTGCTGTGCATTCATAATGGACCGCAGGTACGAGAGAAGAACCACAAAGCCCACACATTAAGGGGGGCAGGAAAATGACTGAACGCTGGGACACCTGGGCCTCAAACCCAAGGTAAAAAGGTGACACAGACAGCTAGGGCACAGTCAGCCTTTCATTCTCTGGGAATGAAGACCAGGCCAACTTATAAAGGGCAGAAACATGCTTACAAGTGACAACCTGAAATCATGGTTCATGGGATTGGCATTTGACATTATGATGATTAAAACTTTGAAAATGCCAAATGCAAAAATTCCAAGTGGAAGGTCACAAACAGCTCTGGCCAGTTATCGATGACAGACAAACTACCTTTTAACATACACTCAATCCTAAGTCAGGTCTGACGTGGGCCTTTTTAATTGGTGTTTATAAATCATACTCCTTAATATAATTAGTGTGTTCCTGCTGCTGCTCAGTCGCTAAGCTGTGGCTGACTCTCTGTGACCACCACGGCCTGCAGCACGCCCAGGCTTCCCCGTCCTTCACCATCTCCATGAGTTTGCTCAAACTCGCATCAATTGGTGTATGCTACTTGCTAAACAGAAACAATCTTTAAATCTGTCTTTAAGCAACAAATATTGATAGCATTTTAAAATGAACATTGAGACATAACATTCAATAATATAATGGTTCAAAACAAAATTAAAATAATCGATAGTAATAATTTAAGAATGTATATGATTAAGACATAAAATAGGACCCTTTGAGGCACAGCTGCGAGGGGAGACAGACAACGGGAGGTGATGCGTGGCCTGGGCAGCCGCTCAGGACAACACCGGGGACCAGAGGCGTCTGACTGCCACGTCAACCGAGACGACACGCCCAGCGGCTCCGCCACAGCTGGTGTCGGGGATGGGGTGGGGGTCCCAGCTCCTGCCTGTACGGGTCTACACTATTCAACACCTGGAAAGAGGATGAGAAGTGTGCTCGTCACTTCAGTGAACACACACCGACAGGAGCAGGAGGGGACGGAGTAAATGCAGTAAGTCATTAACCTCCTTCCAACTGGAGGCTCCGCGAGTGGACTAGAAGGAGAGGGTAACCCCGGGGTGGGGCGCTGGGCAAACAGCGGCCTTGGGTTTTGAGTCACAAGAGTCTTCCTGATGTTCAGTCACTTTTGTGCCCCTCTTCACATGTGGTCTTCATGGCTCTCTGCTTGTCCCCATTACACGCACAAACCAGACAGTAAAGCACAGAGGATATGATGTGCTCGTCAAGACCACATGAAGGAACTGATGCCTAAAGAAACAGGAAATGACTTGCTCAGGACCACAGAGCAGATGAGAGGGAGAATCAAAATCTGAAATAGGAGGCAGGTACACTGGGTTCTGAATCCTGCGCTTGTTAAAACCCTAAATTCTCGTTAAATTAAAAACCCATTCAAATCAACACAGGAACCTGGAAAAGATTGACTGTGATAAAATCTAGCACTGAAAGTGCCTTTATTACATGTCTGTGAGCACGGGCCCCCCACAGCGTGGAACAATCCCACCCCACGGAAGGAAATGGGATTTTTCTAAATGGCCAGGGAGAAGCACCATGGTGTGTCAGGCAGGTTGTGTGATTTCTATTAATAATGTAATAACTCCCACACCTTACACCCTGGCTCAGGGGAGTGCATTTCCCACAGAGCTCAGAGCAGCGATGTGTAAGATTGGATCATTTATCCTAACGGTCTAGGAAGAAATTGCTCCTGAGGAGGGGAAGGCAGGGTGGCCCCATCCATTTCAGTCTGTCCCCAACAACATTAGCAGGCGGCTTGGTGTAAAAAGTGAATCTCAAAGGTAATTGATCTCCTAAATAAAAGTCAGCTGAAAGCCAGGTACACCCCTGAAGGAGGATGGTTAAAAAAAAAAAACCAAAGAGAATTCCACCTGCCATCTACGTTGTGCTTTGGCTCCGGGAAAACACTGGCCCCTCCATTGTTCAGTTTGAGGGGGGCAGAGCTGGTGACCACAGCAGTGGGGACAGAGGGCTGAGGCCAGGAGAGAGTCAGAGATGCTTCCACAGACAGAGCAGGTAAGGGGAGCCCAGGCCTCTGGAAGCCCACTTCAGAGCACTGTGGGAGGAAGCAAGGGTTTTGCTAGATAGAAGACCAACATTCAAATGCATCTCTTTTGCTCATTAATGTACAACCCGGGGTGAGTTAACATCTGCATACAGCAACACTGACTTAAAAGGGTTCTCTGGAGTTTAAATAGGACACTGCCCAGTGGATCAAGGGCATGACTAGGAATAGGGTGGGTCCTGAATAAATGGGATTTCTCTGCCCTGACTTCTTTTCTAGAACTCTATCAGTAAAAAACTACCAATGAGGAAAAAAGGCATAAATCATCAGCACTAAAGAGAGGAACTGGTGGCTCAGCTGGTAAAGAACCTGCCTGCGATGCAGGAGATCTGAGTTCGATCCCTGGGTCGGGAAGATCCCCTGGAGTAGGGAATGGCAACCCACTCCAGTACTCTTGCCTGGAGAACTCCATGGACGGAGGAGCCTGGCAAGCTACAGTCTATGGGACCACAAGAGTCGGACACAACTGAGCGACTAAACCACCACGGCCAATGAGACGAGCAGATACACAAACCAGCCCAGCCCAAGAGCAAATGAGGTATTCTGGTTTCAGAACAGGGTACATGAGTCTTTTTATGCCAGCAATAAGGCTGTCTTTGGATGAATGTATGGCTTCTTTTTGCATCAAAGTCAGCTTGAATGCCCATAATGGCTCCAGCTAACACGGATTCGGTCATCTAGCTGTGAATCTGTGCTGCGGACCCCTTGCAGTCAGGGTATCTGGAAGCCAGTCTGTCACCGGCAAGCTGTGAGACTCTGGGAAAACCACAGGCCTTCTCTGGGCCTCATTTGTGATGCAAATGTGTTAAGCCTGGCCATCTCTGGGGATGCCTGACTCTAAAATGGCCCGATGCTAAAAGAAAATTCTCACCTGGGACCAAGATGAAAACCAGTGTCCACAGAAAACCATGTCATGTCAACCTGAACAGAGTATAGATAAAATGCATAATTCTGCTGTATTTCAGGCCAACAATTTATACAGGTCTCTAAGGAAACTGGAGCATAAATATCAGAGTGGGGACTTTGAACTTGGTCCAGTAGGCACTGGGAAAGTCTTCAAGCCAGACAGTGATGTGGAAACATTTGTATTTACAGGACGATATAAGAGCAGGCTGGAGGCAGGGGAGTATTTCTAGAGTCCCAAGGAAAGATGGCAAACCTCAACTCACAGGATCAGGGTTCAGTGAGACTAAGCAGGAAAGGAGAGGGATTAGAGGAAATCAAATGTCAACCCAAGAGCAGGGAAAAGAAACACATAGGCCAAAAGGAAGAGAGTGAGGCCGGTAACCAGGAGCCAAACAGCACATCAGCCTACCACCAGCTCTTCCAGTGTACTGCACCAAACCACAAGGCAGCAATATTTCTCATCTTAAATTGTCATTAAGAACTGCAGGGGCCATGACATGGAAGCCAGATAGCAATAGGGGGAAACGAATCCAACTTGGTGACAATCTGCACTGCTTCTCAGACCTATTTATGAGAGCGGTGGCAGCAGGAGATGAGGGGACTAGAAAGAGACGCACGCCAGGGTGATGGCGGAGCGGACTGAACGCACGGGAAGGGCCTGAGAAACTCCAACAGCATCTGGCAGGCATCCCGGCCAAAGCTCCCCGCCGGCAAGTGCTTTGATGCTTTATACAAATTCAAAACAGAGGCGAGCGCTGGCAAGAGAGACCATTACTCTGTGGATTGAAAAAGTGATAGATGATGAAATGCGATGCTGAAAAGCCCAAGCTCAGCCATTAATTCTCACTGAGGCCATTCCCCAGGGGCTGGGAGAAAAGCAGTCTTTCCTATGAACTCAAACTGCCCTTACTTTTGGCGGGGGGAGGGGGGGGGTGCTGTATCACTCTAAAGAGAGTTTTCTATCGACATTAACAACCCCCGTTATACTCTGTGGACGACAGAGCCCATGGGTGGAGGGGGCTACTGCACATGACATTCTCTGCCCCCATGGTCAAGGATGGACAGGTAAGGACAGCCTTAACTCCATCAAGCATAAGTACCACTAGGCCACTCCATGCTACCCGGAGAGGCAAGGTGTCCCTGGACAGGGGGCTGGAAGCACCTGCGAGGGTCAGGACCTGCCTTTCGAAGGCTGCTCACCACTGGGCAGGAATCCAACCCCACAGGGTCTCCAAGTGTCTGGAGCCCCACCCAGCACTATTTCCAGGTCATCACAGGTCAAAGTTTGGGGTGAGAAACTGTCATTCTCCCACCTAAGGGAGGACAACCTTTTGTATCTCTGGCCTCTTCAGGGTCTGAAGGAGACAAACTGATTTCTTCCTCCCTGAAGGAAGGCTAGGCCGGGAGAAGCAAGCAGGAAGAAAAGCCTCCCCCAGGGAGGGCACTCTGGGCAGAAGTGACCCCACCCTCCCGACAGCTGGGGGCTCCAGGAAGAGCAGGCCGAGACGCTGCATGGCCTGGCCCTACGCAGCCCTCCTGGGAGGACAGAGGACAGAGACAGGCGGGCTGGGCTCCTCCAGGAGGGCCCAAGGCACAGGGCCACGTGCCGAGTCCCTGCGGACAGCAGGCCTGCGCCGGGCCGGAGCGAGGAGGGCCCAGGACGACAAGCAGGAACCGTGTCCTGCCCCACGACGGCCACAAGCAAGCACGCTGCGGGGACGACGTGATCACCACAGCGTGGGCCAAGTGGGAAGCCCGTCCACTCCGTCTCCCTGAAGAGGCATTCCCTACACTGCCCGTTGATCTGATGAAGACCGGGGGAGGCTGACCACCCTGGCACATTGGGCGGCGGGACCAAGATGAACACCATGGTCAGAACTGCAGGTGCAGTGCCATCAGCCTCGAGAGCAAGGCCAGCAAAGAGCTGAGGTGCACGTACCTGGTGGCCGGCAGGGTACTGACCCGCGTGAAGAACACAGACGGCTCCACCTCCACATGCAGCCCCAGGGCCAGGTTCCTGTAATACCCTTCAACGTGGCCTGGGCCTCCGGAGTATTTGAAGTTCAGGACAGCTTCCAGGGTCTAAAAAGATGGAAGAAAAAAAAAAAGGTCAGTTACTATTCCCTGAGCCGACCGCCATCTAGCCATGGGGCCGGGCTCACTCAGATGAGGGGACGGCGACCCCACGGGGAAGCGATGAGCACCGGCAGCCCCACCCAGGGCGGTCACTGGCACCTGACCCTGGTGCCATCTTTCCTCCAAGGATGCCCCGCATCCAACAACACACACACACGAATGGAGAGAAACTCGAGGATGACTCTGTGATGCGATCGAGCATTTCAGAGAGACAAGTGCATTTCAATCAGCATCATTTAAACATACAGATCAGGCTGGAGTGGTGGGTGGGGGCTTCCATGAGGGAGCTGGAGCATGGCTTCTAGGCTAACAGTGAGTAATGCTGACAAGCCCCAGACTCATGCAGACAAGGGCATGAGGCAGCCATGGAGCCAGAAGGCCAAGCAGGAACAAGTTCCTTCCAGGAGGGACAGGGTGGGGACACCTCACCAGGGGCAGAGCTGGCTACCACACAAGCCAGCAGGAAGGAGTCAGTTCAGACGTCCATGAACTTCTAAAGGCTGAGAAGGGGCTCTACTAATAGTGGAGACCCTCCAGACGCAAGGACAGTTCCCACCCATGCCAGGCTCTTCTCCAAGGACCTCCCCTGGCGGCTTGCACACTCCCCTGGGGGACTGGCAGGGGCAAAGGTGCAGGGGAGCCTCCCTGGGTAGTACAGGCATGGAGGATGTGGTCAGCAGCCACCAGGAGACAAACACGAAACAAAAACCCCAGCTCCAACGCCCTGCCCCCATCCTGCCCCCATCCACACCCTTCTCTCCTCCAAAGCAAAATCTTTAGCTTCTGGAGGTGGGGTGACCAATGCCAAGGGCAAACAGGCAGAGGTAAACATCTATCCTAGTGAGGCAAGGACAGGAGGGTCAGGATCCTAGAGCGACGCCACTAGAGACAGAGCAGGAAGCCCGTTGGGGCGCCCACCTCTAGACCAGGCAGAGGCTGGTGCTCCCGGGGGAAGGGGAGGGACTCCGAGAGCCCAGGCCCAGGATGTGGGCTGCGGCTCCAACTGGGGATGGAGACAGCGGAAGGACAACAGCGTGCCCCCTCTGCTCCTGCGCTGACCTAGCACGACCCCAGTAGGAAGCCCCTGGGGTAGGAGGGAAGGTGTGGAGAGACCCCCGTCCAGGCGTTGGCAGGCAGGGAGGGCTCAGGGCTGAGGAGAAAGGACCTTTATAGGGAAAACGCTTGGAACCTCAGCAGCCCCTATCACCTTCCTCCCCCTCCCCCAGCATGATCTGGAGCCTATGCTGCACCAACAGTAACCATGGCAACAGGAAATCTCAACCCCAGCTCAGTTCCTCACTAAAATGACTCAGCCTTCCCCAGTAAGGTCCTAAAACAGGCAACAGCACATTGCGGCCCATGGGCCAGACCTGGCCTGCAGCCTGGCTCTGTATGCCCTGGAGCTGAGAACAGTCTTTTACATTTTTAAAGGGTTGTACAACAAAACAAACGACAAAACCAAAGAAGACTATGCAACAGAGACCACAGGCGGCCAGCACAGCTGAAATATTTATCAGCTGCTCCTACACATAAAAAGTTGACTAATAAAACTCTTAAGAAGCAAACATAGGAATCAATCATCAGGACCTTGGATTAGGAATAATTCCGGAGAAAGCACACCAAGAGACAAACGGCTGGAGTCATGGAAACCCAAGCAGGGCAGAGCTTTGGGGAGGAGGGCGGAATGCCCACTGCTGCAGCCACGCCATGTAAACCGGGCCTGAGAACGTGCCCACCACATCAGGAGACTGGCTGGGCTCCGGTGACCCTAGTGGGGGCGCTTCCCAGAAGAGGAAGCGGGAGGGTGAGCTGGGAGCAATGTCGGGCAGTAGAGTGCCGGACGGGGCCTCAAAGTCACGTGTTCAGGGTGGGGATTCGAGCACACACCCACCCACGAGAGCCTCGGGAAGCCACGCGTCCCGCCCACAGAGCAGGCCCGCCCGCCTGCCCTCCTCCCCGCTTCACCAGTCACAGCTCAGTAAGCCATCCACGCGAGACACAGCACTTAGCCCTCAGTTACTGCTTTCATTGGCCCAGTCCTCCTCTCCAAAGGAGAGGCAGGCACAGCTACAAAAGTGTTTAAAATGAAAGAAAAGCACCGTATGTGCGTGCTGTCGGGTACCATCCCAGGTGGAGGACAGCTCTCCTCTGGGAAGGACACGGACAAAAATCCCAGAGACAAGCAGCCTGGTTCAGCAGGTGGGAGGCCAGTTAAGCTTGGCTTGATGCTCTAGCTAAGTGAGATCTTGAGCGTGTTGTCCCATCACTCAGCCTGTTTCTTAACTGTTAAATGGGGCTAATGATTAACACCTATCTCACTGGACTTTAGTGAAGACTCACTGAGAAAGTGAAGTATAAGCTCAGGCAGGCACTCATTAAATAGACACCTTTCTCCCTCTGCACTCTGACCACTCGATACCTGAAGGCAACATGGCTTAAAATAGGAAGAAAGGGGAAATGGATTCTAATGCCATTTATTTAACATTTTTTGTATCGTGGTAAAATACACATAAAACTTACAATTTTCTCCATTGTTAAGTGTACAGTTATTTGGCATTAGGCACTTCCCCATTGCTATATAAACATCACCACCATCCATCTCCAGAACTCTTTCATCTTCCCAAACTGAAACTCTGTATACAAACTACACAAAAATTCCTCTTCCCCTCCCCCCAGGCTCTGGCAACCACCACTCTCCTTTCTGTCTCCATGAATCTGACTGCCCTAGAGACCTCCTGTAAGTGGGATCGCAGCACTTTTGTCCTGTTGTGACGGGCCTATTTTTTCAGCATAGTGTTTCCACGGTTCATCAGTGTTGTTTCAGAAAATAATTCCTTTTTAAAGTTGAATAATATTCCACTGAATGAATGTACCACATTTTGTTTATCCATTCACTTGCCAACAAACGCTTGGGTTGCCTTCACTTATTGGCTATCGTGATTAATGGGGTTATGAACATGAGTATGCAAATACCTATTTGAATCTCTGCTTTCAATTCCTTTGGGTATATCCCCCAGAAGTGGAATTGCTGGATCATAAGATAATCCTGTATCTAATCTCTGTAAAGAATCACCATACCACTTCCCACTGTGACAGAACTATTTTACATCCTAACAGCTGTGCACAGGATTCCAATTTCTCCACATCCTCAACAATGCTTGTTTTTTCCTGGTTGACTGGTTGTTTTTAGTAATCACCATCCGAATGGGGGTGAAGTGGTATCCCATTTTGGTTTTGATCTGCATTTCCCTAATAACTAATGGCGTTGAGCATCTTTTTATATGCTTAATGGCCATTTCCATATCATTGGAAAAATGCCTACTCAAGTCCTTCAGTCCCATTTTAAAAGCTCATTGTTCCAACTCGTCTCCCACCACTCTTCAAGGAGGACGTGTTTACACCTGAACTTTGTAGTACCTCAACTTTGGTACTGCTGATTCTCTTAACCTGTATAAATGTTGCTCCTCTTTCATGGCCCCCAGTAGCCATGCTTTCTCCAGTAAGATGGCTATAATGCCTTACTTTAAAATGACCCAATGAAATACAGATTTTAAAAAAAATACTCAAGGATCATATTCTGGTCTCACCAAAATCCCGAATTCTTTTTCTACAGCATATAGCACTGTACTGTAATCTCAAAAGGACAGCCAAGTTTACATCTTAAACTTTTGAAAACCCTTGTTGTCAGCACAAGGTGAGACCCCCTCATACACACATCCCAATAATTCTATCTGTAATGACTTTTTTAATCCAACAGACTTCCATTTGTTTGGTCTATTCTTTCCTTCATCTTTTCAATCATTTCCTGGGTACTTTCTGAGTGCCAGGATCTGTGCTTAGAACAATGAATACAGTAGGGTCCCTGATCTCAGAAAGCTCACTGTCAAGTCAATGAATGTCTGAATAAATTAACTGATAAATAAACAAATAAAGCCAATCCATCACCCAATATAGTCTCATGGCAGTCTCTGCAAATGCAGGCATGAGGGTCAAGGAAATAAACAGATTCTCAATAATGGCCTTGAAAAGCCAAAATCTGTGAAGAAATTAAAAAAAAAAAAAAAAAAACCTCATGCTTGCTTTTTTTGTTTTTTAAAGTAAACTTACAAGTTGTCTCCAGGGAGTGATATACTAGAAACCACCTGGGAAATAAGCAAAAACTATACACAGAGAGGTAACCATCAAGTACCACATAACAAAGAAGAAACTGTATTTTTATTTTCTTGGAATTGGCTATTCCCTTACACTGTAGAGAAGCCAAGTAAAAGATATAATTATGGGGGAAAACACATAATTTATTAAAACAAACACAGAACAGATTTTGTGAAATTATTGCATACTATTACCTTCCTTCCTTGATTAAAAAAAGCCTTCTCGGAGAAGGAGCCAAGATGGCGGAGGAATAGGACGGGGAGACCACTTTCTCTCCTACAAACTCATCGAAAGAACATTTGAATGCTGAGCAAATTGCACAAAACAACTTCTGATCGCTAGCAGAGGACATCAGGCGCCCAGAAAAGCAGCCCATTGTCTTCGAAGGGAGGCCCCCGGTTCCTATCTAAACACTTCCTGAGACCCGACTGGCGGCGCACGCTGGGGCCGCGGAGGGAAGAAGCGCGCCGCATCAGGAGAGAGTGCGCCCAAGCCTCTGGCTGCCTGAGCCGCCCGCCGCGGAGGGAAAAGGCGCGCCGCATCCGGGGAGAGTGCGCCCAAGCCTCTGGCTGCCTGAGCCGCTCGCCGCGGAGGGAAAAGGCGCGCCGCATCCAGGGAGAGTGCGCCCAAGCCTCTGGCTGCCTGAGCCGCCCGCCGCGGAGGGAAAAGGCGCGCCGCATCCGGGGAGAGTGCGCCCAAGCCTCTGGCTGCCTGAGCCGCTCGCCGCGGAGGGAAAAGGCGCGCCGCATCCGGGGAGAGTGCGCCCAAGCCTCTGGCTGCCTGAGCCGCCCGCC